CTGGCACGTTAACTCAGATCGACCACATAGCAGTAAGTTACCGTTGGCGTGGCTCAGTACAAAACTGCAGGTCCTAATGGACCACCTGAATCTGATCATGCGTTACTTTTAATGCAGTTCACTCTCCAACTCACGGGTCGCAGGAAATCCCACCAAACTCAATTGGCAGATCATCGCTCATCTGTCCCAGCCGTTCTTGCCCGTTTTGAATCAAAACTTGGGCAAGAGCTAAACGCACTGCGGGGTTGTAGTGTAGATGAACAATGGGATCAGATCAGATGAGGAATGCGCTCCGCAGCGAAGGATGCTTGTGAATCTGAAGCTGTAGACCGCCCGAAGCATTGGATATCTGATGAGTCAGTCGCCCTGATGGAGAAAATGCGGCAAATCCCAAGGCAGGAATAGGTGGCATCTGCAACGTCAAATCAAGAGGGGTCTCAGGAAAGACTGTGAGAACTGGTGGGCAACAAGAGCTAGTGGAATGGAAGTAGCAGCTGCATCATGGAATAGTGAAAGACTGTTCCAACTGATACGCAATACGGGAGGTCGGCGAGCCACAGTTAATGAAACAATCTGCGACAAAAGTGGGCAAGCTATTCACAATAGGGAACAACGGCTTGACCCGTGGGCGGAGTACTTCAACGAACAGTTCAGCTGGCCAGGCGCTAACCAGGCTATCCCTTTCGATGTAGCTCAGGCTCCGTGGGCAGTGTCATCTGAACCTCCTACTGCAGTAGAAGTTCGTTCTAATTTCCGAGTCCTGAAGAAAGGAAAAGCAGCAGAGCCGGACGGGCTTCCTCCCACTCCTTTCAAGATTAGGGGCGATGACCTTGTAGACTCCGTTATTGATTTAATGCGTGACATCTGGTTACACTAGCGCATTCCATCATCCCGGAGTGAATCACTGATCGTTCAAATTTTTAAGAAGGGATCTCGCAATGACTGCGCAAACCACCGTGGAATAAGTTTGATCCCAATCGTCACCAAGTTACTAGCCTCAATTATACTTCGACGTCTGGCACCGTTTAGGAAGACAAACATCCGCCAACAACAAGCAGGATTTCGACCAGGTCGCGGTTGTATCGACCAAATCTTCACTCTGCGTCAAGTCCTCGAGCTACGCCATACCCACTGTCGACCAACGGTTGTCGTGTTCCTTGGCCTAAATGGAGCCTTCGGCTCATTTGATCGTGAATCCCTTATGTGTTCACTCTTTTGCAAAGGAATGCCGCAGAAGTATGTGAACATATTGAGTTTACTCTACTCACATACCTCTGGTAGCGCAAGGGTCTACTGCGAGCTGAGTAGGTCGTTCGTAACTAGCAGTGGTGTTCTTCAAGGGTGCCCTCTTTCGCCATTCCTGTTCAACTACGTCATAGACGAAATACTGAAGAACCCACTAAGTGGTCTCCAAAATGTAGGTATTGAATGGTGAGCTGGAGAAAAGCTGTGCGATCTAGAGTACGCCGACGACATCGTTCGCTTGTTTGAATGTATGGAGGAAGCACAAAGGGCACTTGACAGATTAGTAAGTTCTGTTGCTTCTTTCGGTATGAGCTTTGCAACTTCAAAGTGCAAAGTGATGCTACAAGACCGGGTGTCGCCGAGTTCTGTTCTGAAACTAGACGGTCAGGAATTAGCTGAAGTTGACTACTTCTCGTACTTAGGTAGCTGCGTGACCAACGACGGTAGCGCATCGAAGGAGAAAACCGTCCGCATTTCCAAGGCTCGAGTAGCATACGCAGGACTAAAACACCTGTGGCGGCGACGTGACGTGTCACTGAAGTTGAAAAGTCGCGTACACTGCACCGCTACGGTCAGTTTTGCTTTGCGGTTGTGAGATCTTGAATTCGTGGGTAGAAGACACTCGTCGTTTAGCAGTGTTCGACAATCGATGCTTACATAGTCTGGCTCAGGTTGGATGAAGTGAGCGGGTTAGTAAGTTAGAAGTAAGTCGTCGGGTGTTTGGGAATACATCAAACCAGAACTCTACCGCATCAAATTGAGCTCAGCAGGCTCCGTTGGCTAGGGCACGTGTTGCGTATGTCCGATGGTCGCATATCGCAGCGAGCCTTGTTTGCAGTGGCTGTTGCAGGCTGAAGAAAGCCACATGGAGGCCAGCAGATGACGTGGAGACGAGGCATGAAGAAATGCACAGAGCGATTAGGTAGAGTAGGTGTCTCCCGTCTTCCGGGTTGGGGTCCAAAAGACTCCAAAACCGCATGGTTGGTGACACTGAAGGTCATGGCTACTAACCGACAGCAATGGATATCATGTTGTCATTTCTTATCAGACCAGAATGCTTGAAATTGTATGTATGCTCAGTTGAACTGTTTACTCCGTGTGTTGACCGTAGAGGTTCGCTTTCTTTTCCCGTCCCTAAAAATAGGCTCAATCCCTGTCCTCCGTACACATTATCACTTTCCTTGTATGCATTATGAATTTGGCAGCGATCAGTGAAGTTCGCTTCACTGTATTACGCTGTACAATGTACAATGTGTCAACAACATCTCATTACAACGTAAGATGTTGGAAAAGAAAGATATCACCTTTGGTGAGGCTCGAAAAATCTGTGAGCAAAGTGACGATTTTTGTGCTGCCACAAATGCGGATACTCCTGTGTTATTCCATCGGCGATCAACGAAACCCTTACGTGACGCACCCAATGTTCATAATCCACCCCAGGTTCCTCAAGTATTCAGTTCAAGCCGAACACAACCGAAGGCTGCGACCAACCGTTGCTTTTCATGTGGTGAATACTATCTTCGTTCGACTTGTCGATTCCGTAATGCCACTTGCCATGCATGCGGCCATATCCGCAAAGTATGCTGAATGCCCAAGTGCAACCTCATCGATTCCCATAGCCCAACGGCGGATGAGAACGCAAGCCCAATCTACACACTGCACACCACTGAACCCAACGGCCAGTTCGTGTTCGCCCTACTAAGGTTCGAGTCTGGTGTGGAGCATCGATTCATCATGGACACAGGAAGCAG